GAGGGGGGGGGTCCCCGCATCTAGGCCGGCAAGACGTGTTCTCGACCGCCATGAAGCGCTTGAGGAGCGCGGTGACCGCCGCGATGGCGTGCTCGCGCAGGCCGGGCGCGTACGTGTCGAGCACACCCTGCACCGGCGCGACCACGCCCTCCAGCTCGGCCTGCTTGCCCTCGGGCTGGCCGGCGATGAAGTCGGCGATCGCCGCGCGGAGCGCGTCGACGAGCCGCGCCGCCTCCTTGGAGTCCTCGGTGGCGACGTGCTCAGCCAGCGTCTTTGAGAGGATGGACTGCAACGCCAAGTCGAGGTCGGCGGGCAGCTTGTTGCCGAGCGCGGCCATCGCGTCCGACACCTGCCAGTATTATTTCTTTCATTGGTCTCGCAATTCCGGAGTCATTCATTCATTCATTCAATGGCCGTCGCGTCCGACGCCTCGCCGACGACGAGGTTGATCGATGAGAGCGCCGCGAGCAGCTTCTGCACCTGCGGCTCGGCCTCCATCACGTAGCCGTCCATCACGAGCTCGAGCGCCTTTTGCGACGCGCGGAAGGCCTGCAGCGTCGTCTCCTCCTTCTCCGTCGGCGTCTGGTACGCGAGCAAGCCCTCAAACGGCAGAATCTTCTTGACCTTGGACGGGTCCTTGAGCTCGAGCGAGCCGAGCAGGTCGCCCTGGTTGATGATGGAGCCCGCAGAGAGCTCGTGCTTGAGCGTGCCCGACTCGCTCGCGCGGATGGTGATGAGCATCTTCATCGCCTCCGCCTCGGCAAACGGCTGGCCCGCCTCCACCGGCGCGCCGTCGTCGACCAGGTAGCGGACGAGCTTGCCAGTCACGTCGGAGCGCATCTCGGACGGGTCAAACACGTTCGGCAGCAGCACGGTGGTGCCGTCGAGCACCATCCGCAGCCCGAGCGGCTCCTCCTTGGCGAACAGCTGGTGCGTCTCCGAGCCGTACGAGACGTAGAGCGAGCCGTCCGCCTGCCTGCGCGTGCGCACCTATGGGGAGATATGGGGAGATATGGGAGATATGGGGAGATTGTCCGCCTGCCTGCGCGTGCGCACCTATGCGGAGATATGGGGAGATATGGGAGATGTGGGGAGATTGTCCGCCTGCCTGCGCGTGCGCACCTGAAGCAGAGGAGTGCGGGCGGGCAGATCAAGCAACGCGACCACCGGCGTCGACATGCGGCCAATCTCCCCATATCTCCCATATCTAGGAAGTGCCTAGGAAGTGGTCTAGGAAGTGCCTAGGAAGTGTCTAGGGAGCGCCTCGATGTGCTGGCCGGTGCTCGAGAGGACGAGGTCAAAGGCGTCCGGCGCCTTTGGTGTGACGGTGAAGGAGTACTTGACGTCCTGGTAGGTGAGCTCGAGCGGCATTCCTTGCATCTCGCGCAGCGCCAGCGTCGAGAGCTGCCCCTTGTCGAGCGACTCCTTGAAGCCGGCGATGTTGTCGGCGATGAGCTTGTGGCCGCGGTAGACGGCGGCGTTGATGACGGCAGACTGCGGCTCAACCTCGACCGAGACCGACTTTGCGGCGATCAGGCCGTCGAGCCACGCGGTGTCGAGCGTGTTGTCCTTGAACTCTGGCGTGTTGAGCAGCTCGCCGAGGTACTCCACCGTCGTGCGGATGTCGCCCATGATGAAGAGCTCCTTGAGCGCGAGGACGAGCGCCTTGCGCGCCTCCTCGCGCGTCTCGCCCGTCGCAAAGACGTGGCCAAACTGCGAGTCGGCAAACTCGTGCACGCCGCCGTCGGCGACGACGGAGAAGTAGCCCCACACCTTCAGGGGAGAGAGGGGGGGAGATGCGGGAGAGAGGCGGGGGAGAGAGGCGGGGGAGAGGGGGGGGGAGATTGGCAGGTACTGAGGCCGGAGAGGGCTGGGTTCGGGGACTGTGGGGGTAGGGGACCGCACCTT